TTCTTAGGGATATGTGAAGAGGTCCCTATTCTATTCGGATTTGGCCTGAATCAGGAACACTGATTCGATTCGTGGATTCAGAATGCTGTCCCTGATTCAATTTGGCTGAATCTGAATCTGAGGATTCGATGCTGATTCGGAGAATCAGCGATTCGGACATAGACACAGATTTAAAAGTTTTTCTACATACCTTGAGGTACCAGCGTGGCTTGTGATCACTGAGATGCTGGGGTGCATGGAGCATCCCACAGGAGTGTGGGGGGACCCTCCACATGCTCAGCAGCAAACCCAGAAGTACTTCCGGTTCACTTCTGGGTCCACTGGGGAGCACACTGGGAGACCCCCGCTGTGCCCCTCAGCTCAGCGATCGGCTGCAGGGGGACCTCAGGTGCCCCCACCCCAGACCCAGGAGGCACCAGTCACCGAGCCGGGGGGGGGACACAGGGGGGCCAAGCGTGCTGGGGAGCCTCCCACACTCCTGTGGGACACACCATCCACCTCAGCGCTGCAGCACATTTAAAGCTGTGTCTATGTCTGAATCTCTGAATCTTTCCGAAACTCTCTGAATTGATTCGGAGAGATTAAAGGGCCCTCTGATTTGATTCAGATTTGGAGATTCAGCCACCAAATCGGAATGAATCTCTACCGGAATTGGATCAGAGACTGAAGCTTCGCACAGCCCTACTCCTTATTTCCCCTGCCCCTTAAATTATGCTAAACAAACACTGATATCTAAGAACTGCAAGAACTCACAAGTAGCTATGAACATAAATTGAGATAAGAAAGCTGGCCTAGCTACAGACACTGGCATTTTTTCTGATAGTAGCGAGAAGGAACTAGCATGCCAGTTGGTCTTGCCCTACCCTTCCTGCCCTCTGTATGGTATACAGGGACAGTGACAGAGCACAGACATGGACTGGATGACCACTGCTGGCTGGGAACTCTAGTCTGAGGCACGCAAAGTGCAGGCACACACAGTATATGCACAATGGAGTACATACAGGGTCAAGTCCCCAAAGACCTTCAAGTCCAGTCAGCCCTGAGGCTGCTGTGACTGTTGCGGTACCTTAGATGCTGTTACAACCCTCCTAGGTTAGTTGAGTGGCTTTGTGTCACCGGCGATTTTTTGGGCAGTGACCTGGCTGTGCCCATCTCCTCTCCTGGTATGGATGGGTGTTGGTCACAGAGAGCTCATCTGCCTTTTGACAGGTGTTGTTTTTAGTCCTGCTGGGTGTCCACACACCCTCCTCATCCAGGATAGCCCAGGTGTGGGTGCCAGTTTAATTGCTGACAACCTAACCATGGAACAGGCTGTACTGGTTTACATGGTTACAGATAGCAGAACAAGAGAGGCCTGGCCTGATTAGCAAAATACCTTCAACCATCCATATTTGAAAAATGATGTGGGGTGGCCATGACAGTCACAGTGCTAGAGAAAGGCATTCTTACATGGCAGGCCTATTCAACACTAGCGCAAATTTCCAGAGCTGCATAATCATGGAACGGAGTGAAAATGTCTCCTGAAGAGGCAAAAACATTATTTTCCTAATTGTACAGGATGCAACAATTGGCCCTTGAAATGGCGCATGTCCAAACTTGTGCCCCAAAAGGCAAGCAGTCTGCTTTTGTAGACCAAACTCAGTGCCAAAAGGAAAGCTAACCAGTAAAGGAAAAGTTCAAGAGTCACTGCTAAAACTCTCTATGGACTGCAATTTCCAGACACTGTGGTCACCAGAATCACAGCAGGAGACACTGTGTAGCCCTGGCTGAAAGAGTCTGCCACCTGGGGCTCCAGTCTGCCTCAAGAGTTTCTTAAATCCATCACCAGCAAGACCTAGTCGGAGTATTCCTGCATGCTGCAGTCATCCTCGGGTCAATAGTCTCATTGTCTTCACTTCCTGGTTGTTACAAAGATTGATTCTTCTGATAATGGAAACTGTCCATCAGGTTCACTACACAGCCTTTTCTTTGTTGCCGCAAGGTAGAAAGATGCCAGCAAAATGGAGAGCACTGATAAAAGAGATGACCTTCCTTTACTCTCTCCTTCACTGCAGTCCTCTCTAGAAGGGCCCTGCATCTTCAGAACTGGCACCGTATATCAATCTGAATGACTGACCCAGGAGGGGAGAAGTATACATCTGGAATAAACTGATTACCCAGCTGGCCACTAGACATGAAGACTGTACTACTGATGCAGAGCCTAGTGAGGACAAATCTGTCTTGGCAAAAGTGACAAATACCAGAACAGAGGTTTTACCTTGTCCTGTAACTTCAAGCACAAGCACTCCAGAGAGGAAGGAGCCTCTGTCTCAGCACACTGGCCTGTTTCATCCTGTACAGGTGTTACATTAGTGCATTAGCCGGGAAACAGCTGGCCGTACAGAGAGTGGACCCATAGGCGAATAAGGATTAGTAATCATGGGACTGATTCCAATAGTCTCCCAACTGGCCCCAGGTGGGGCCAGGGCTTTAGATAGGCTGAAGGTCAGAGGGTGGCCACAGCCAGAGAAAAGAGGATCAGGGTACTGGTGGTACAGTGTAGAGAGATCCACGGTGCAGTACCATCTGTGATGATGGGGGTCCAAGAGGGAAAAGCATGCCAGGAGAGAGGGAGATCTGAGGGAAAGTACTGGACCTCTGAATCAGTGCAGGGAACAGGACAGGGCTTATGGGGCAGGAGAAGGCACCTGGAACAAGTGGCCTCGGAAGCCTGCATAGGGGACGAGAGACCGAGCACTCTGAAGGCGCAGAAGAGGGCTGTGTAAGAGGCTGAGGGTCTGAGGACCTGGAGGAGGGCTGCGTGAATGTAGATGTGTGACATAAAATTGCCCACGAGGATCCCTTCTACAAGGCATAGGGCATGGTGTAGGAGCCATGCAATTAGCTCATAAGGCAAAGGACTATAGCCATCAGGTGGTCACTAGAGCAAAACCAGGTCTGGGAAGCCCTGGGGCAGCCTCCCTTTTATAACCATAAAAGACATCAAGATGTGGCAAGCAAGTGAAGGAGAGAGAGTTCCCAGAGTGAGCAGGGCAAAAAGGGAATTTTTGGAGGCCTCCAGGGGCTTCTGGTCACCTCTGGGGATGTCACCCTGCTATACTGGTCATGTCTTGCAGAGGAGGTAGTTCCACTCTGTGTAATCTTAATGAGAGTGCCCTGGGAATAATGCATTCAGTATTGGGACCTGAAGACAGGCACATCTCAGATGTGCTCTATTAACAGAGGAAGACACAGTTCTTCCTTGAAGATATATATAAAGTTTACCCCACAAGGCACTCTTTTCAGCCATCAGATACCCAGGCAAACCAAACTGCTTTCACTTACTGTAGCCTTGTTTAAAGGAACAAGATGAGGGAAGCAACTCCTCCAACAAATGCCAGTGAAAACAGCCGGCCCATACAGATACTAATTACCACCCCAGCTGCTCACTAGGCCTTTCAGCTTCTGCATCTCAAACCCTCTCATTAGAGCTCTGCAGAAGTTCTTTCCTCTCTATCACTGTGCTCCAAAATGAGACTCTCTCCATGGGACTGCATTAACCCCTTCCTGCTGTCAGGATGCACACAGCCTATATAGCCTATCACAACACATTCATATCAGCAAAAAAAAAAATCAGACAAAGCAGTGACAGATACAACCTGAGGGCTGCACAGGGCAATTTACAAATAGATATTAAAGCTACAGATGGCAAACAGTTCATCAGAGGCAGCCTGAGAAAAGTGTAACCCCTACAGCAAACAAGTAATTGCTTGGTACAGTCCAGCTGGGCATAATTAGGGCCCACAGGATGAATCAGACATACAAGTTACGGCTAAATATCAGATGCAGGTCATCTCTGACTAGAAGGGTTGGGAAGCTCGTTGCTTTGGATCTTTCATACTAGACTGGAAGATACTAGTGAAGATCCTGCATGGACCCATCTTGTGGAGGCAGGGACCACACTGAGCAATCTACACATAGCTCTTCCTTCCCTAATACCCAACTATAATAGCATGGTCTGTCCCTGTAAGAAGGGGTAGCCAGGTCTATTAGGGATCTGCAGTTGCAGGGCCTTCGGCTAATAAGGAAGCATCCCACAGCTTAAAACCTGGAGGGGGAGAAGGGTAAGCTGCAGGGGAACAGTTTGCAGAGAAGAAAGCCATGAGTAAGACCAGCTTGCTACAAAGAAGAGCAAAGCTGCTCTACTGGAGGTCAGAATCAAGGGGATTCCCCTCCTAGTGCCTGGGACAGGGCATAAAGATCTGGATTTGTTTGCCTATTTGTCTGTTTGTTTGAGGCTTAAAGACTGTGTTTTAGTGGGGAGAAGTGACTGAGGAGCTCCTCAGGGAACAAACCTGCTCACAGAAGTCAGGATGCTAAGCAGTCCCTTTATACCAACTCTGATGCTCAGCTTTCTACACGAGTTCAGTTTGCTAATGGAAGGATATGGCCAAACTGTGGCACTGAGTGATTTGACTATGTGCCAAGCACTCCTAAATTTTGCAGGAATGGTAGTTTATCGGACACTTATGACATATCTTCTGTTTCCATCCTCCCATGTGCGTGATGAGGCTGGGAGCTGGGAAATATTCATTCTGTAGCAAAATACTCAATGCTGTGGTAACTGAGGAAAAATACTAGATTCCCTGGCCACACAGTCAGAGTCCACAGTATCCCAAACAAGATGGTCAGGGAGGGTCATTCCACTCAGCCATGTTTTAAGCTCTTTTCCAGAGCAGCATCATTTTCCATGTGGGTCAATTTATTTTTAAGAAATGATCTTCATAGCCAGAAAGACTAGATACTTAAAGCTGAAGGGAGCAATAAATGCCGCAGTACATTGTATAATTGCAAAACTGGAGCATACATAGCATTCTGAACTTGGTTCAATGGCACAGAAGCCACTGATCAATGTCTAGTAAGTACGCAAGATCCCTTTAGGGAGCTAAGAGACAGACTGGTGCAGGAGTCAGGAGGCCATTCGCTTGCATTCTGTAGGAACGCTGCAAACAGATACTTACTCTTTAACTTGGAGCGCACTTTGTTTGCCGTCTTTTTGATGTCGGACATTAATTCTTCTAGCTCGTCCTTTGTTTCTAGAGGGAGAAAGGAGAAAACAAAGTTGGTTGCCTTGGAGATACTCGATGATCCCAATTTGGTCAAGTCACTGAATGCCTTAATTGTTCAAATCATGCAAGCACATGCAGCCTCCATTCCCTCCCAAAAGGTCGACATGGGTCCCTTCAAGAAACTCACATTGTTACCCAGGCAACCTCTCCATCCAACCAGCAATCCTGCACCCATCCGGTTGCTAATTTTAGGCTCACCAGAACCAGGGCATAGGTCACCGTTGCCCAGCATCAGAAACTGAGTTCCTTCTACCC